CTGCAGACATTTTGACAATACAAAAGTTCACATTTTTTCCTCATCCTCTTTTCAGGCTGCTAGAAAGTCACTGCTGAAAGTGTTGCAGATTCACATTAACAAAGGCACAGTAGGTACTGAAATTCAGAGTCATTAGTGTCAGTAGCTAGGTGGCTGGCCTCTGAGAATTTTTTTTTCTTGGCACATATCTGTTCCCTCATCAGCTTAGAGGGCAAATTGATAACCTGAGGTGTTTATTGTTCCCTGACTTTCACAGCACTCCGATGGTCTTGCAGCCAAGAACGACTGGAGGGCAGCTAAACTAGTCTGTCACGTGTGGGTCCTAACGCGGAGAGCATGAAAACCAGGAGACTTCATTTCATGGAGTATTTCACATTTGAATCTGACATTAGGTTAACCTGAACACTTTAAGTTAATTTCTAAGAGTTCATAATTCCAAGGAAGAGGCATGTATTTTTGCCATTTCAGAAACAGATTTGTCTCTTACCGTATTTTGCATAGAATTATATGAAAAGCTAATTAAGTAAGAGAAATTTTTTCTGTTAGGAATTCGAAAATATAATAATTTTACATTTTATATTTATCATTTATAATACATTTTTTCTTTATTATTCTCCAGAACACTGGAAAATTATGGCAGGTTATTAGATCATACAATGCCAGGTACAAAGTGAGTAGTTGGTGAATTTTGTTGAAAGAATGAACTAGGGAATATAATTCTGAAATAATTTAAGGTGTCTTGCCTTTATAAAGCCTACCTTGAGCATAGTAAATTTGATTTGTTTTTGTTTTTGTTTGGAGATGGAGTCTTACTCTGTCGCCCAGGCTGGAGTGCAATGGCACAGTCTCGGCCTACTGCAACCTCCATCTCCCAGGTTCAAGAGATTCTCCTGCCTCAGCCTCCAAAATAGCTGGGATTACAGGCACACACTACCACACCCGCTAATATTTTGTATTTTAGTAGAGATGGGGTTTTACTGTATTGCCCAGGCTGGTCTCGACCTCCTGAGCTCAGGGAATCCACCTGCCTCAGCCTCCCAAAGTGTTAGGATTACAGGCGTGAGCCAGCATACCCAGCCAGTAAATTTGTTAAAAGCTATATATTCTGTTTACAAGCACTTCATATAGTTTTTTAAAGTTACTTAAAATATGGGTTCAGCTGGGTGTGGTGAGCTTAGCAATGACCCAGGAGTTCAAAGACCTTGACTCTAGGCCAGACACCAATAATAAACAGTAGGATGGCCTTGAAAAAGTGACAGCTCTGCTGGGTTTCAGTTTCCACACGAGTGGCATGATTGATTTGGAGCAGGTTATTTCTATTATTCCATGCAGCTTCAAAATTCTGCAACTGAATAATTTAGATTAAGGAATTTTGACCTAAATTTAACAGACACTAATCCAGTACCAATATATGCCAGGTAATATTTTAAGTTCTTTACAAAGTATGTAATGATATAATAATTTTAATAAAATATAGACCATGTATGAGGTAGCATTTCCTGTATAAACAAATAAGAGTTGCTATTAAAATGATAGCAATTTTACTAACATTCAATATAAGTTATTTAAAAAACAGAATAGAAATAAAATAATGCTTGGAATTGGACATAATATAGGGATGAAATTAGTTAATCCATTTAAACTGGAAAAAAAATTATATGGTCAAAATAAGTGATTTAATCTTTATTTGACTTGGTAGAGTATACTAGATTACACATAACTTCACATCTGTCTCATTGTAAATGATTTGGCTGTCATAAACTTGAATGTTCTCACATATTAAATCACATGGGAGAAAACTTGTGTGAATCAAAGAATTTCTACCTGTATTACATCTTAATATAGTACTCATTATATTATAAGTGTTTCAAGTGCACAACTCATTTGGGAGGAACAAGCTGGAAACCATTATATGTTCACAGTAGAGCTTCTAAATATCAGAGGGGCTAATTTCATGTATACAGTGGGCACATGGTTGCCTGAAGGTTGGAACAGAAGATAATACTGCGAAAGAGAGTTTGACTGGAAAGCTACTAATAGGTTTCCATTTCCAGGCCTGGTTGAACCGTCCAACTCTCATGATAAAGGGCTGGAGATGAACGGAAATTTATCAAGCCAGGCAATTTCCACATCTTGATATGCTGCATGGGCCCTTGTTCCATTACTTTGACAACGGACAGGACTTCAAGCATTTTTGCCCCCTCCTCAACCTCCTTTAGGAGGTCAGGCTTCCTCCTTCTTAAGGTCAGGCTCAGGCACTAATTCCTCTAAAAAACTCTTCCTGAGTCAACATTTCTGGCTCCTCTCAAAAGTCCTCCATCTACACAAAGGGTTGGATGAAGATTCCATAAGTGCTTTTTCCATAAAAACCTGGTATAAATCTCTAACATATTTACATTATTCAGCCTACCATGTTGAATTACATTATTGGTTGATAGTCTTTCTCAGTGAACTGTGAGCACCTTGAGAATAGGAACCATGTTTAATTCTTTTCGATCCCCAGTGTCTTGCATGATGTATGACACAAATGACATGCATTGTTTGTTAAATCCATGAATGAACAGGTAGATGACAGTGGTAAGGCATTTACTATTAAAATGGTTGGCACCACTGGATCTCCATGCATTATAAGTTGGTTAGGAAATGTGATGAGAATTGACTGTTCCAAGGGAGGCAATGGAGTGAGGGATATATTTCTTGCACATTTGCAGAGTATCTTTATAATAAAAAATTTGGTTTAGGTCATTCTCCCTCACCCCACACTGAGAATAGTAGAGAAATTGAGAGAAAATGAAACACATTTTAAAAAATCTATTAGGCTAGGCATGGTGGCTCCCACTTGTAATCCCAGCACTTTGGGGGTGCTGAGGCAGGTGGATCATGAAGTCAAGAGTTCAAGACCACATCTCTACTAAAAATACAAAAATTAGCTGGGTGTGGTGGTGCATACCTGTAATCCCATTAACTCAGCAGGCTGAGGCAGGAGAATCGCTTGAACCAGAGAGGCTGAGGTTGCAGTGAGCTGAGATTGTGCTACTGTACTCCAGCCTGGGGGGCAGAGCAAGACTCCATCTCAAAAAGAAAAACCTATTCAACAGATATTTACTGAACAGCTACTATCCAGGAAGGTGCTCTGTGTCCTAGCCAGATTCTACCCTCGAGAAAAATATAGTTTAGATATTTAAGAAACTCACATGAAGGAAGAAAGCTGTGCATGACATAAAAGACTTCAATGTTTACCAAAATGAAAGAATATGTGATAAAGGTTATAGAATGGTCAGAGATGTCAGAAATAAATTTGCTGGATTCCCAAGAAGTTCCCACTGTGCAGGAGAGCTAGGTTAGATCATTATGGCTCACAATCCGCTCTCAGCTACAAAGATCCTGGACTAGAGATGGTCAGGTCCAAGGAGATTGGCATATATGCACACCAAGCTTACCAGGGCTTGAAAAGCCAAAAGGCCAATGACGAGGTGAACTGGATAATTAATTATGATTTAAAGATGGGCCCAGAGTAAAGGGACCTAAATGGTACTGGAGATACTTCAGCCATACAACAGAAATGTGCAAGCCAGACTTCCTGTACAGCCTTTCTCTTCAACAGCATAGGCCAGATGTAGTATTTCCTATTTGTAGACAGTATTGGATAAATAGAGGATCTTGTAGATACAGATATATGCAATTAAATCTCATATGGTAACTATTATGAGATTTCAGAAATATAAAATGTTATATTCGGCCATAAAGATCAAGGGCCACTTTATGGAAGAAGTGGTAGTTCGGCAATGTCTTTGAGATTGCTTAGAGTTTACAATGGTGACTTGGGGAAGAACATCATAAACAGAGGGGAAAGCATGAACAAAGAAGGTGAATGGTCTATTTTTGCTGGAATTCAGGGTATACAATGGAGGATAGTAGAATATTATGCGGAAAATTGGAACCAGGTCATGGAGGGGTCTTGAAAGCTAGTTATGAAGTTTAAATAGTGTTCTTTGTGTAATGGGGAGTCATAATAGAAAAAAACATGATTAAGGCCAGGCATGGTGGTTCATGTTTATAATCCCAGTGCTTTGGGAGGCTGACAGGATGGGTCACTTGAGGTCAGGAGTTCAACCAGCCTAGCCAACATGGTGAAACCCCATCTCTACTAAAAATTCAAAAATTAGATGGACGTGGTGACAGATGTCTGTAATTCTAGCTACTTGGGAGGCTGAGGCAGGAGAATTGCCTGAACCTGGGAGGCGGAGGTTGCAGTGAGCTGAGATCACACCACTGCTCTCCAGCCTGGGTGACGGAGCAAGCAAGCAAGAGAGACAGAAAGAGAGAAAAGAGAAAGAAAGAGAGAAAAAAAAGAAAGAGAAAGAAGGAAGGAAGGAAAGAAGGAAGGAAGGAAGGAAGGAAGGAAGGAAGGAAGGAAGGAAGGAAGGAAGGAAGGAAGGGAAGGGGAAGAGAGATTAGAATTGTATTCTGAGAAAATTAACTTGGTTGCAGTGTGTAAATGGTTTGGAGGAGGAAATCCTAGATGCAAAGGCTATTGGGAAGCTACAAAATCTATATAGAAGGACTGAAACTAGGACAATATTGGTATAAGTGAAACAGAAAGGGAGTTAAGGGTACAAAGCAGGAAGTATCTTGGCATTTTCTTTGCACCCCCACACACATGCACACACACTTCAAAGCAAAGTATAACCCATGTAACTCAAATACAATATAAAAGAAAATCATTCTTAATTTCTGTGAAATTCTCCATTTATAAAGAAGATTGGAAGATCATTGATTCATATAGCCAGTTGATTGATTTTTGGATTGTCTAAATGTCAAATTGGTTAAAAATGGAATTTCCAAAGCACCAACACAATGGGTATCCATACCTAAATGGACACCTTCAGGGTAAAAAAAAATATCCTGCATAAGTAAATCTTTCACAAGATGTCTAGGTGATTTTTTCCAAATCGACTTTCTTTCAAATACTTTCTAACGTTAGCTAACCCAACGAATAGGAATGTTGCAGAAAACAGAAACAGGAGCTTTGTGAGAAATTTGATTACCTGTACGGCATTTTGGAGGAGAGGAAGAATGAAATGACCCAAGTCATTACCCGAACTCAAGAGGAGAAACTGGAACACGTTCGTGCTCTGATCAAAAAGTATTCTGATCATTTGGAGAACGTCTCAAAGTTGGTCGAGTCAGGAATTCAGTTTATGGATGAGCCAGAAATGGCAGTGTTTCTGCAGGTAAGTCTCTTTTTGGCGTCAAGGTAACAACCCAAAAGGTGGGTGCTGGAAAATTAGTTATCACATTTTCATTATTTTATGCACATTTCAGTTTTTATTTATTTTTACCAACTAAAATATAAACCCCATATGCTCATATATTCATCTATTTAAACAACTCAAAAATATGTCTAATATACTGCTTAAATCTAAGATGGTTCTGGTATAAGACAGTAGTTATTTATGACATTTAGAAACTAAGCTATGAGATTCTCAGAGTCAGCAAAGGAAATAATTGTCTTACCACTGTCTTCTATGGAAATAATTTAGCAAAACTATCTTTTGTTTGCTTTCACAGAATGCCAAAACCCTGCTACAAAAGTAAGACCTTTTTATTTTATGGAAAAAATGCATATTGTCACCTTTACCCAAGGCTGTCCAACTTTAAACAGTGACAGAAAGTGGCAACTTGTCTTTGTTGCAGAATCTCCGAAGCATCAAAGGCATTTCAGATGGAGAAAATAGAACATGGCTATGAGAACATGAACCACTTCACAGTCAACCTCAATAGGGAAGAAAAGATAATACGTGAAATTGACTTTTACAGAGGTTTGTTATTTTTTTTGACCATATGGACGAAGCTGCAGGTGTGTGAAAGCTGCCAACAAGTTGGATGGGAGGAAAGGGGGAATTCAGAATCACTTCCAGAATCAATGTCGACAACTTCACAAGGATTATATCCAATGTGCAGCTCTATTACATTACAGGATCACATCATTTGTTGACAATGTTTATTTAACTTTGAATATATGGTGCCTTTTTTTTTTTTTTTTTTTGGTGGACTCTCACTCTGTCCCCCAGGCTGGAGTACAATGGCATGATCTCAGCTCACTGCACCCCTGCCTCCCAGGTTCAAGCAATTCTCCTGCCTCAGCCTCCTGAGTAGATGGGATTACAGGAATCTGCCACCACTCCCAGCTAATTTTTGTACTTTTAGAGAGACGGGATTTTGCCATGTTGGCCAGGCTGGTCTCAAACTCTTGACCTCAGGTGAGCCACCTGCCTCAGCCTCCCAAAATGCTGGGATTACAGGTGTCAGCCACTGTGTCCGGCCTGGTGCCTATTTTAATGTCAGGTTGGGTATTTGACTCTGGATAGGCAAATGCTTCATAATTGATGGTGATGATGATACCTCAACTTCAATCCTATGCACAGTGGTAGCCACAATGATGTAAAGTGTCAGCAGGAGCAAGGTTAAGGATGAGATAAAGACAATACATAGGAGGCATCTGGGATAGATATTGTATCATATCAACTTAATCAAACTTTAGAGGACAAGAACAGTAACAAGTCATAGAATAAGTCACAACCTGGACATAAAGCTGGGTGGGTCTATGTGATCAGTTACATTCCATAAGCTATAAACACATTCCTACCTTTAAGCCCAGAAATCCCATTCCTGAAATTTTATCCTGATTAAATAATTGAAAAGAGGAAAATAATCTTGAAGCTGACCAAAATTTTGATCACCTTGACTCATGCTAGGCATCCAGATGACCACACCCTTCAGCTAGACCACTCGTAATGCTATAAGGCTGCAACAACATCCACAGACAAAATTTTAAAGGCAAATATTCAGGATATATCTTTTTAAAAAATCACTTAATATTGTCTGTTCTTAATGTCACCTGAGGGAATATTAAGATCAGTGGATCAGGAAAAGAGTCACAGCATTCCAGCACTTTGGGAGGCCAAGGCAGATGGATCACTTGAGGCCAGGAATTCGAGATCAGCCTGGTCAACATGGTGAAACCACATCTCTACTAAAAGTAAAAAAAAAAAAAAAAAAAAAAAAATAGCTGTGTGTGGTGGCGCATGCCTGTAATCTCAGCTACTCCAGAGGCTGAGGCAGAAGAATCACTTGAACCCAGGAGATGGAGGTCGCAGTGAGCCTAGATCATACCACTGCACTCCAGCCTGGGCAACAGAGTGAGACTCTGTCTGAAAAAAAGAAAGAAAGCAAAGAGTCATGGCATTTACTGTGGCAAAAGTCAGTATTCACTGAACAACGGAGGTAGAAAGCTAAAATGAGAAAAGGGGTTTGTTTTCTGAGATAGGGAAGAGTGTTGCACTTCCATTCAATCTGACAGAGATAAATAAGTGACAATCCCAGCCCTCCAGGAGTTTGCAGATGTGGCAGACTGTAACAAAAATGTGGACAGGCTCTGGAAGGTGAGGAGTATGATGCATGGCAGGGGTGAAGACTGTACTGGGGAGGAGAACAAGGAGGATGGCGATGGTTCCTTCACATTTGTCAGGTCCACATTCCACTAGAAGCACAAACCCCCGGCAGGGCACACTTGGACCATGTCAAGTGTCTGTTGGAGAGGACTTCCCTAACCCTGACCTTAACTGGGGCTACAGGCACTGGCCATTAACTGTTCCCATGGCTGCCGGGATCGTTATAACCATTTTAAAGATACCTTACCTTACTTTACCAGAAGATGAAGATGAAGAAGAAGAAGAAGAAGAAGGTGGAGAAGGAGAAGGAGAAGCTGGAGGAGAAGCAGTAGAAGTGGAAGAAGTAGAAAATGTTCAAACGGAGTTTCCAAGAGAAGAAGAAAGCCCAGAAAAAGCTTCAGAGCTCTCTCAGCTGGAGCTGCAGGCTGCCCCTGGGACACTTCCAGTTTCCTCTCCAGAGCCACCTCCAGCCCTGCTGCCTGCTTCGGATGCGCCTGTGACACAGGTAACCCCTTCTCAGTCCCTTTCTACAGGGCACATGGACATATCTCCTTACTGAATAGCCTAAACAGTTTACTCTGTTCTCCCTTTAGATAACTATATGCCAGACATTTTATGTGGTAGACAAAAGATTTCAGGACAGTCCCCATGTCGGGGAGAAAAGTCCTCTAGGTGATTAAACAGGTTCTTTGTGATTATTGTTAGTTAACAAAACTTAATTTAATATAACTTTCCCACAGTAATGTCCTCAAATCTGAGGCAGTCTTTGTCTGGAAATTGTGTGTGTGAGTATGTGTGTGTGTGTCCATCCGTGTCTGTGTGTCATGTTAATTCATAGACAGTTGAAATCATGGGGCCTAGGTCTGCTCTTTGTTACTTAGTGAATGTAGATGTAGAGTATAGGTTGAGAAATAAAATATCATATAGGGTAAGAAACAAAAGTGATTATACTTTCAGAACTTTGAATTTTCAGTAGATAATTGAGGAGGTAAATAGAGAAACTATACTAGTTTATGTTCCTGTTGCTTACCCTGAAATACAACTTCTGTGTTTTTACCTTCAGTGAGCAAACAATGAAGCCTGGTTTTCTATGGATTTATCATTTGATAAGATTGTACATTGACAGAATTGTCTAAAACATGTCTTAAGAAATTAGCTCACCCCAGATGCTGATGTTTCTAAGATGTTGCCATCCAGTTTTCAAGCCTTTGTGTGGACTCCATGACACTTCAGCAGACAGGATCCCAGCCTGTTGAGTATGCAGGCAGTGTAGACTCATCAGAGAGGAGTCCTGATTCTGCACCTGCTTTTGAAGTGGATTGAAACAAAACCCCAGAGGGGGATCTTGGAGATGGAATTGTATTTCTATGCTCTGTCTCCACAGTAAACCAGGCTAAAATGCCATTTATAGTCTAGAATCTTTAAATTCTGAGTGTTCCAGTTGAACTAAAATTGAAAGAGGGATAGCAACTGAGTGAGGGTTGGATTTGATCAATGAGATTAATTTTTGGTTTTTATAAAGAGGTTTTGGGCACTCATGCATAATGCCTACAAATTAATTCTAGTCAATAGTTTGACTCTTCTCCCATATCTGATATTTTATAAGCAACATTCACTGAGATTTCTGCTTTCTGCCTGCCTGGGTTCCCCACGAGTGAAAGACAAGCTCAGAAAATAAGAGCGTGCACATCCAGATGCTGGACAGAGGGATGCTGTGGTCACCATTCTGCTCTTAGCGCTTCTGGAGGGTGGGATGAACTAAAACAGCCACCAAGGTGCTGCATGCAGGGAACGCGCAGTGTTCAAACCCAAAGGGAACGAAAATCGACTGCTTTTTCTTCTTCTTTTCTTTTTCTTTACTTTTGAATTTATCTGTTCTGATTAAGGGGGAGGTTGTGCCCAGTGGCTCTCAGCAGACCACAGAGTCTGAAACTCCAGTCCCTGCAGCAGCGGAAACTGCGGATCCCTTGTTTTACCCTAGTTGGTATAAAGGCCAAACCCGGAAAGCCACCACCAACCCACCTTGCACCCCAGGGAGCGAAGGTCTGGGGCAAATAGGGCCTCCAGGTTCTGAGGATTCGAATGTACAGAAGGCAGAAGTGGCAGCAGCCGCACCGAGTGAGAGGGCAGCTGTGAGTGGTAAGGAAACTAGTGCACCTGCAGCTACTTCTCAGGTTAGTGATGATGCACTTGTGTCTATGCTTTCCCACGCCCCTTAAGGTCCCACTGGAACAGGCCATAGCAAGAAGAAAAAGGGCTTTCAAAAGGGCAGAGAGAAACCTCAGCCAGGGAAAAAGTACAGAAACAACTCATCCCCCAGTGTTGGCTTATTTTGAGCTCTACATAAATGAAAACATAAAACAAAACAAATCTGAGTTCACTCTGCTGGTGCGTGGTGACCTCACACCTGGCTTCCCAGGGGAGGGGCACAAGTGAGCCTGGCCTTTAGGCATGCTGCTGAGCGCTGCTTCGTCTGCAGTGACGGGCTGTGTCCCTGGTCCTTCTTTGCAACGGCCACTTGCCCTTGCTCAGCCTTCCCTGTGTCCTCCTTGGGCTTGCAAAGACTAATCCCCTGCTTTTGTGTCATTCCCAGCAACCCCCAAGGAGCACACTTGAACTGAGTTTTCAGTCTGTTCTGGAAAATAACCTCTGATTCATGGATTCTTGGAGTGTGCTGGCCACAGCTAGACAGAGATAGTCTTGGCTTGATTAAACCCGTGCTTCTTAAGCATGTGCTCCTGGGAGCAGAAAAGCACAGGTGCTCCTCCATAGAGATTTTTTCCAAGAGACTCTTTCTTTATATAATGAGAGTTGAAGTCCATGTCTTCCACCTAACAATCGGTTAGATGTTCGCATGTCTTGAAGAGTCCATGGAAGAAATCTTTTACAGTTTCTTCACAAGGAAGAATGTTCATGGTGACTCCATACTCATGAGCATTCTTAAATGATGTGTGAGGTGTGAGTGTTGCCCAGGCAAGAGGCTGTCAGAAAGTCCCATGCTCCTGGGTTGTCAGGTGATTGATCATGAGCCACAAACAACATGTTTTCAAAACTCAGAAAGTGACTTATTATCTTGATTGCATCTGTTCAAGTAGATCTCAATTCCATGAGGTAATAAAAGGAAATGACTTTTGGAAAGTTAATAGTAACATGCTTTGGGGTCAGATGTTTATTTTCACAGATAAAAGTGACAAAAATAAATGTTTGGTGTGAGGATATCTTTTGAGGTGGTTTTTAGGTAAAAGATGCAGTAGACTGATTATTTCTAGAAAATGTATGGCGATTCTTAGACATGGTAGTAGAAGCTGAGTGTCTAGAAGCTGTTTTCTGAAAACAGTAGTGCACTACCCCATGAAGAGCCTGTAGTAGGGCTCAAACCAAAATGAAAAGTCCATTGAAATAATGTTGAAAAAAACTACTTGTGATAATATCAGTGAAGCTTTCTTCTTATTTTCTCACAGGAGTTAGTAATCTGCCTAGCGCTTTTGGCTTTTCTTATACTTCACTACATCTGGAGTCAGATTCAGTGCTTGATTTTTACTTTAATGGGTAGGAAATATTTTCTTTTCCCTTGACTAACATCTCACATAGTTTCTTCCATAATGTTCCACTTCTGTAGGCCCAGAGATGAATTTCTTCCCAAATCTTGAGGCTCAGTCTTCCCCCAAAAAAAACACTGTCCACAGATTATACCGGAGACCTCAAGTTCCCACAATGCAATCGCCTCGAGACCTCTTCCTGAGGAGAATTGCTCCATTATCTATTCCTGCATGGAGGGGAACCTTGACTGACAACAGTGACTCTGTGGGCAATTATTCAGTAATCCAGGAGGAGCAAACCCTCCAGAATGGTCATTAGGGGAGGCCAATTTCAAAGGTCCATAATGCCATGAGGACCTAATCCTTATAGAGAAAGGAGCGACAAAGGACTCCTGGGGAAAACAGAGGTTTCCATTGATTAAGTAGAAGCATTTTATCTGCTTACACCACAGATGTCTAGGAGATGGTCAAGTGACTCCTGGTGGGCTGCTGTTCTAGGCAGTTCCTATGTACTTGAGAGGGTAGGTGGGTCCTCTTTGAACCCTCAGACTCTACAGAGTTTCTTCTGGGAGAGAAGGTCCCTGAGAGAAAGATGCCCTGAGTGAAGCAGTATCTGGATTGCACCCACATGAGACCTGAATGAATTAACAGCCAGAAGATCAGTGTGCACTTAGCAACCATCAGGAATTAAAACCAAAGAACCAAGCCATAAAGTCATGAAGCAGCTCCTGTGTATTATTTTCACATTACCCTTTTCATAGCCAAGCCTTTGCTTGATTGCTGTTAGGAGGTTTGCTTGAGGACTGACATCTTAATTATCTTAATTTAGTAGCCTTTTGAAAGTTCTCAGTTTAATTAATAATACTTAAAGATTCCAACTCCCATGTACTTTTGAGTAAATGACCCTGTTGGGCCTGAAACCCAGCTCCTTGTGCCTATAGCTCAGAGCCAGTTCAGGGTCAATGGTGCTGAAAGACCTTGACTATTTCTGGCTCACTGAATTTTCCCTGGGTTGACACTGACGCTTCTGGAAGCTCCAATCACAGACTTCCTTTCTGCCTCATTAGCCATCAGCTCAACAATGGCAATGGGGCCTCCACAGGTCTCTGTGTGTCTGTAACTGTGTGAGCAGGACCTGCCCACAATGTCCAACAGTCAGCTGGAAACCTGTGCGCCATGGACTGTCCCAAGTGTTCTTACAGACTGCTCAGCACCCAACTCCTCCAGACATTATCTGTGGTAAAGAGCAGTGGGAGGTTGTATTGGCCGTGGACTCGGGGACAAATGGTGAGAGAGAAAACTCCATGCTTTATTGGAACCAAGACCTAATTGTGGATCTGAATAATTGTCTGAAGGGTTCTGTTTACATTCTGAGAATTTGAGTTTGGGACTTTGTCCCTACATATATGTCTTGTAATGCTTCTCTGAGGCTGCAGAAGGAGTGTCATGCTTGAAGGCTGCCATCCACTGAGCCCATGTCATGTATGCTGACATCCACATGCCTGCCTGGGGAGTGGAGGGTGGGGCAGGTGGAGCAGGTATAGGGAGGGTGTTGACATCCAGTATCACAAAGAACCTTGCTGTATAGTTCTTGGTGTCTGAGGAAGGGCCTTTCACATAGAGAAAGACACCTGTCATGATGGAGTACTATTCTTTGATCCTGGAAGTGGGATATGGGCAGGTTGATAGAGACCTCACTATAGTAACAGATTCCCAGCCTTTGAGAAGTTTTTGCTGGCCTGATTCACCTTCACCACTTCAGAACCCAGTTTACCAGATTCATATTTGTCTAGTGCAAGGTTAGAGTGTTGGAATTTCACATTTCATCACTAGTCCTACCTGGAACATTTAGGATGTGGTAAGAGTTCTCCTTGATTCAGTAATGGTCTTATCTTTCTTTACCAAGTGTCCCGTGTCAGAGAGTAATGTTGCCTTTAAAAACTCAGAAGCATCTCAGGCTCATTTGCTGACCTGTAAACTACCTTCAGCCTCCAACAGCTGAACTGCAAACCTTTCAGAAGCAAATGCTCTATTTCCAGGTGCTTTCCTCATATCCAAGTACACAGTAAAAGCTTCCCTTGATTTTACTGCCTGTGGTTTCTACTTTATCACATACCTTCTCTCTTCACCCAAGTACACAGGCAAAAAAACTGGTCATGGCAAAAACCAAATGTCAGCTGCCAGTGATGAACAGGACGACTACTTCTTATTAGATCAAAGGAGTGTTGTGGCTCCCACAGGCATTCTCTAAGAAAAAGCAAGGTTTGGATTCAGCCCTGTGGAGAATTTGAACTCATAAAGGCCCCAGTTTCCATGCATGCTTCTGCAGGATGCACTTGGAACCTCCCCACACCCCACACCTCCCAGAAAACTGTGCGAAGCCCTCACGCATAATCTCGTCTTTAGCTGCAGAGTCATCCTTTCAGTTTCTGCCCTTCTAAGCCAGGCCTGCTATATTATCAGTCAATGTAAAGAGTGTTTGGTAGAAATAACCTTTGATTTACTTTCATGTGTTAATTTTAAATTTCATTTTGAAAGAATTATACCATGTCCTAATCAACCCCAGAAAACAAGGCGTGAATAAGGTGGGAGAAGGAGGCTGTGAGACAGGTTGACTGCCTTGGAAGCAGTCTCTGTGAGGCCTTGTTTTTCGGGCATGCCTTCTTATGGCCATTTCTGGTCCAGTCTGCTTCCACCCCTAACCTGCTCCCCACGGACAGTTGGGCATTTTATTGGAAATATGTGTGGCAATTAAATTGTTATAGAGGTGGGAGCAGCAACAATGAAAGCCCCCTCCCAATTCCGCTTCCTCCCTTCCCAGTGCAGTTTAGTGGCCTCACCTGGAAGAATTTGCTCAAACCACTTAATGGGAGCTATGCAAGGAACAGGGGTTTCCAGAGTAATGTCTCCCTATTTGGTGGATTAACTCAGCAGCTGCTCTGGCTGATACTTGAGCTGTACACAGCAGCTGCCTCAAGGTAAAAGGATCACCCCACCCCGCACCACCCCACCACACATATGCACTCCAGCTAGAGCCATCTGCTTTGGAGATGGGGACTTTGGCATTGAAATCTCTGCAATTTCTGCCTCTATGTAGAACCACAGCTCGGTATTTCACCAGAACACGACGTTGCAATGATAAGAGGCCCATAAAGCTTTACTATATCATAGCGATTTGTTGCTTCAAAATTATCCACTTTTCACTTTCTATTCTTCAAGTCTGAAAAATAGACAAAGTGGGTAGAAATTTTAGAAAGATCCAAAAGTTAGAAGAAAGAACTTCATATCTGATCCTGGATCTGCTTCAGCATCTGACTCTGGGCACTTATATTCTTTAAGCCTCAGTTTTCTCATCAGGAAAACAAAGAGACTATTCAATAAATAGTTTCATTTATTTATCCAACATTGGGCTGTGACAAATCTAATACTAGGAATTTTATAATTGGATTCAAATATTTTCATTGGGAGGGTTATGGACTTAGGTCTGACACAAGTCATTATGAGTGACAATAATTTCAGTAAGAGAGTCCACTGCATTACTCAAAGTACATTGATTAACTTAAAGCTCTTATAAATCCCAATTTCCCAAATCATTTTCCAGATTTTGCCCTAGGCACTCATTTAGCTGAAAGTTTGCACGGTTGCTATCACCTCCTTCAGAGTCCATGAACTCCGCATCCATGATGACTCCACTCTGAAGTCACCTAAAGGTACTTACAGACCTCACTGCTCATTACAGCAAAGACAGGATGTATACAGCAGACGCAGTCACAGAACATTTAATGAGTGAAGAAATGAAAGATGTGATTTTTAAAGTCAATTTTATTGAGATATACCTACATTACAATTTACCTGATTTAAGTATACAGTTCAGTGAGTTTGGACAAATATGTAGCATTGTATAGCTACCACCAGTTAAGATATAGAATATTTTTATCACCCCAGAAAGTTCCCCCATGTGTCTTTACCATTAAATCCCTTCCCCGCATCCCTGCCTCTGGCAACTACCAATGCGTTTGTCATTATAGTTCTGCCAGTTCCAAATGGTCCTGTGAATTAAAACATACAGTATTGTAGGCTATTTTTTTTACTAGCATAATGCTTTTGAGATTTGTTTATTTTGTGGCATGTATTAGTATCTCAGTTCTTTTTATTCCCAAGTGGTATTCTATTGTGTGGGTATGGGACTTAGTTATTTATCTATACATCACTTGATGACTGTTTGTGTTCTTAGCATCTTTGGCTATAATAAATAAAGCTTCTATGAATACTCACATGTAGGTCTTTGTGTGAATAGATGTTTTCATTTCTCTTGAGTAAATGGAATAGAATTGCTGGATTTATGGTAAGTTTGTGGTTAACATCATAAGAAACTGTCAAACTGTTTTCCATAGTGGTTATTCAATTTTATTCTGTTTCCACTAGCAAGGTAAGAGAGTTCTACCTACTTTACATTCTAGCCATTGTGTGGTATTGTGTCAGTTTGTCATATTTCGCCTATTCTGGGTGGACAATTATGCATGGTATCTCTTAATGGTTTTAATTTGCATTTTGACCAAGACTAATGGTTAGCACCTTTTCTTGTGCTTATTGGTCATCTTTATATTTTCTTTGGTGAAGTAACTATACATCTTTTGCTCAATGTTTTATTCAGTCATTTATCTTCTTAGAGAGAAGTTCTTTACGTGTTTTGGATAAAACTTCCTTATACTTATCGCATAGGTGTTTTGCAAATATTTTCTCCCAGTCTGTGGCTTTCCCTTTCATTTCATTATTTATTTTTTTATTTCAATAGGTTTTTGGGGAACAGGTGGTGTTTGGTTACATAAACAAGTTTTTTAGTGGTGTTTTCTGATATTTTGGTGCACCCGAGCAGTGTACACTGTACCCAATGTGTAATCTTTTATCCCTCCCCAATCCCTACTATTTCCCCCAAGTCCCCAAAGTTCCAAGTATTATTCTTATGCTTTTACATTCCCATAGCTTAGCCCCCACATATAAGTGAGAACA